TTTTTTTTTTAAATCTCCTCCTCCCTCCATGAAATTTTAATGCCACAGATATCTCGTTGATCTGTTGATGTGCTGTGTGTGCATCAGGGCTTTGTACACAGAAAGCAATTAATTCACCTTCAAAAGCCAATTGAAAATGCATAAGCTGTGGGCCGGGGTGGAGCTCAGTGGTCACACACTTCCTGGCCAGTGCAGGGCCCTGGGTGCCGTCCCCAGCACTGCAGGAAAGAAAAAAGAAAGAAAATGCATTGGCTAAAGAAGAGGAAAAGGCCCCTGGTCCCCCTGTCCCTCCTAGACTCCAGCCAGCCCCTGGGCCTGCAGGCCCTCTCCTTCCTGCTGAGCACCCCGGCTCTGTCCCCTCAGATCATGGAGCATTGCATCAAGCAGAACAACGCCATTGACATCTACCAGGAGTACTTTGACGATGAGGAAGAGGTGGAGGTGACGGAAGAGGCCCCTTCAGCTAAGACCATTAATGTCTTCAGGTAGCCCCTAGCGAGGCCGGCCTCTGGCCAACCTGTCACCTCCAAGAGGGACTCCTTGCTCATCACTCCAGACCGCGGTCACTGTGCTCTCTGTGCCCAAGCTCGACGAGGGTCAGAGCAAGCCGGTGCCCAGCAGGACGTGGTCCCTGTCCTGTGGGGATGCATGCGTTGACCAGGCTTGGGCTGTGTGTGAGCTGGGCGCAGGGGGGATCTCCCACAGGGCAGAGCAGGACAAGGCGCGCACCTCAGGGGTCCAGTGGGTCTTGGGCCCACAGGTTGCTGGCCCACATTTGCAGGAGTGGAGCTGGGAATAGCCTCCAAGGACAGGGGGATTTGTGGGTGTTGTGTGTTCTCTGTGTGAGGATCTTCGCTGCAGCGGGGTGTGCTGACCAGAGCTCCAACAAGCCAGATCCATCCGTCGGGGCTGGTTCCCACAGTTCTGGCAGAGCCCACAGAGGGGTACCAGGGTGGGGAGGGGGCGCTGGAAGTATAGGGCAGCTCCTTCTGTGACAAGAGGGACCCGTTTCCAAGACTGGTTATGTGAAAACCAAACCTAAACAAGCTGTGGAAGAGTAAAGGGGAGAGTGTGCTKCTKCTKCTTCTTCTTTTTTTTTTTTTTGGCACTGGGAATTGAACCCAGGGCTCCACACATGATAGGCAAGTGCTCCACCACTGAGCTACCTCCCCAGCTGTTTTTATTTTTTTATTTTGAGATGGAGTGTGCTAAGTTGCTGAGGCTGGTCTTGAACTTGCAATCCTCTGTCTCAGTCCCCTAGTTGCTGGGATCATAGGAGTGGCCACTGCTCCTGGCTGAGAGTGCTGATTTTTGTTTAGACATACCTATGTACACGTGCACGGGTCTATTCCTATGTACACGTGTGTACTGCATCGTGGACAGGTATGTGCATATACTTCACCTGCAGAGAACACCTGAGGTTTTGGACTTCTGGCCTCCTCAAGTGGGAGGGAATGAATTTCTGTTGTTAAGGACACCTAAGGCCCCGGCTGCGGCTCAGGGGTAGAGTGCTTGCCTGGCACGTGCAAGGCCCTGGGTTCCGTCCCCAGCACCGCAAAACAAAACAAACCTAACAAAAACTAACAAACAAGAGCAAAAGACAATACCACCTAGCTGTGGTCCCTGACTCCAGCAGCCCTGGAAGGAATGACACCGGCTTCACCCGGGGACTCTGAGCACATGGGTAGGGTAAGGAAGGAGAGCTTGGGGACAGGAATGGGGAGAGGACCAGGGCAAAGGGACAGCTCATCCTGAAGACTTGGTGAGAGGAGTTGCAGGTGGGGCCACGTTCATGGCGGTGGAGGGGCAGGAGGGAGACGGCCGTCCATTTAGACGTAGAGGTAGTGGAAGGGGGGAAGGTGGGAGGGGTCCCAGCCGGTGCAGGCCAAGGCATCTCTGAGGACCCTGGGTGGGGTCAGGTGTGGTCTGGGTGATGCGGATTCCAGAGATGGCAGGCATTTGGAGGTGACTGGCCTCTGGTGGCAACTTGGGGGATTCGTTTTGCCACCACAGCTGACCAAGCATCTTAGGAAGTACCTGTCCCTGTCCCAGCACAACCTGTTCTGATCCAGTGGTGACTTGTGGGGTGCAGAGCAGGGCCAATGGCTGCACCCAGGGATGTGCAACAGGCACATGCTGCCCCCAGCCCTGCTGGGCTCTGACCCCACATAGGGACCCCTCAAACCACATGATGCTTTAGACCTTGTCCCAGGACTCTCAGGCATGCACAGCAAGTGCTCTCCAGGGGCGCCAGCCCCAGCCTGACTCCCAGACTTCAGTTTTAGGCTCATAACAAAATTGAGCAGAAGGTACCGAGAGTTCCCACATGCCCCTCCCACCTCCTGCCCTGGGCACACAGCCCYGATTGCCAGCATGCCCACCAGTTGGACCTGCATGGACAGACACACCACTGTCACTCCCTAGTTTCCGTCAGGGTTGTTCCCGAGGCTTGCACACCCCAGGGGTTGGTGTCCACCATTGCAGTAGGGTACAGCGTAGTTCCCCGCCCTCAGAATGCCCTGTGGTCGCCTCTTCGTCCCTCCCAAGTCCCGAGCCCCTGGCAACCACTCATCTTCTTCCTGTCTGTGTAGTTGGCCTTTCCCAGAGTGTCTTCCCGGGTCTTGATAGCTCATCTCCTTTCTCGTGCCGAATGGTATCCCATCGTCTGGGTTCACTACCATTTATCCACGAAGCCATCGAAGGACAATTTGGTTGCTTCCCTGCCTTGGCAATTTGAATAAAGCGGCCATAAACATTCGTATGGAGGGTTTTGTGTGGACGGAAGTTTTCAGCTCATCTGAGTCAACACGGAGGCGTGAGATGGCTAGACTTCCTGATCCCTTTTGATTCGAATYGCAACGGAAGATCAGGCTCTGGCTCGACTTCCAGCGATGGAGCGGAGGGTTAAACTGGAGTTTCATGTTTTGCCTGTTCCCATTGTCTTGGTTTTTATTATTACCTTCTATTTATAGTTGGTGGGACTGGCTCTCCATTTACGGGAGTCTTGTCCACTTGGTCTGGATTTATTTTTTTTTCCACTTTTTATTGGTGCAGGATAATTAATACATCATGGTGGGATTCACTGTTAGGCTTTTGTACAAACACAACATGACCATATAGTTAAAATAACAATGTAATGTGGCCAATATCCTTCCCTAGTGTCCCCCTTCCCCTCCCCCTCCCTCTCCCTGCACTTTGTTTTTAAAATAGATTTTCTGAAGTGAAGGTGGTCCCTTAGATATACTTGAGTATTTTTTAAAGAAAAAAAAAAAGAATCTAGTTGTGCTAGAATTACTAGAAACTGGGGGAACCCCACCTCCAGCCTTCTGACTCCCTTGCTCTCCCCAAAGGGATCCGCAGGACATCAAGCGGGCAGCCACACACGTCTCCTGGCACCCCGATGGCAACCGCAAGTTGGCAGTGGCCTATTCTTGCTTGAATTTTCAGCGGGCACCTGCGGGCATGAGCCACGAGTCATACATCTGGGAACTGGGTGAGGGGCAGCGGCGTCTTGCTGGCCAGGCAGGGCTGAGGCCAGGGCCAGCCGGGGAGTGGAAGGGGCCAGGAGGAAATCCCTGCTGTCCCTTCGCTGCCTGGGTTTAAGCAAACTCCAAGGCGAGAAACTCCAGGTTTACTTTTCCCCCCGGACGTGCCAGGGATTGAGCCCAGGACCTCACACCTGCTGAGCTGACCTCCAGCTCCAATTCCAGATTCCTCATCTGGGGCATGAAGACCACCCCCAGCCAGGGCACCATGGTGGACGCCTATGGTCCCCTGACTCAGGAGGCTGAGGCCAGTTCAGTGCCAACCTGGGCAACTTAGTAAGACCCTGCCTCAAATAGAATTCTAAAAAGGGCCAAGGCTGTATCTCAGGGGTAGAGCTCCCCAAGTTCAATCCCTAGTATTGCACAATGAATAAATAAATACCAGACCCAAGGGGACGCCCACTGTCGGTCCCTAGGGAGCCTGACAGAGAGAGGCCCAGCAGGCTGAAGGGAGCCCAGAGGGGAGGGGAGGGGAGGGGAGGGGACTGTGCCTTGACCCCACTTTGCTGGGAGCAGGACCCTTTCTCCACTGCAGGGACAAGAGCCTGGCCCGAGCAACACCCCCGGCTTCCCGTTCTCCCCCTCCTTACAACAACTGTGCAGGCGCTGCGTCGGGAGCTGACCTGAACAGCTCGCCCAGTTCTCGCAGCAACCCCCCCACCCCCGGGGTGGACCCCGGGTATCCCCACCCCCCCAGGCCTGATTTGAAGACCCCGTGAGAGCTGACTTTGTGTAAGAACCTTAGGCGTAAAAGCTGGTTTCACACCAAATATGAGAAACAGACTAGAACTGGAACTGGACACCCACGCCAACACCCCAGACCCCCAAAAAGAGCCAGTAGCTAAGATTTAGGCCTCGGGGCCGAAGGAAGCAGACCAGAGAAAGAGGGGGTGTCTCAATGGCTGCCTTCTAACCACCCTCCTCTGGAAAAGGGGGTAAACTGGCTGGCCCTGTCCTCTTCTGGGCAGGCCTGAGGAGACCTTTTTCTTTTTCCTGCTTTATAGAAAACCCGAATAGGCCTGAAATTGTCCTGAAGCCACCTTCTCCGCTGGTCACCTTGGAGTACAACCCCAAAGATTCCCACGTGCTCCTGGGGGGCTGCTACAACGGGCAGATAGGTAAGGAGGGACCCGGGCGGGTCCGGGAAGACCCCGTGGGCGGGCACCTCTGCAGCTGGCCMCCCCAGATGCTGGCCAGTCAGCCGGTTCTGTGGGCGCTGCCTCTGGTCCACTTGAGTCAGCCTGAGGTTGGCTTAAAATAAAAAGATCTAAAAGGGCCGGGCTGGGGCTCAGGGCAGAGGGCTTCCCTGGCACGTGTGCGGCACGGGGTTCGACTCTCRGCACCACATAGAAATAAATAAAGTCCATTGACAACTAAAAGATATTAAAATAGAACAGACCGCATTGCTATAAGAAAATTTTTAAAAAAGATCTAAAAAGCCGAAGTTTGAGTCCAGTCAGGGAACACGTGACTAGGGGCCACTCTTAGAGGGACGGCGAGACCTTGTGGAGCCCGCCCTGGGGCAGCAGACCTCTGGGTGATGGGCCTGGCGGTTCTGGCGCTGGGAAGCCGGCCCCCGTCTGTGTTGGAAGGGCTGGGGAAGGGCTGGCACCGACTCCTCGGACGTCTGCTAGGATTCACCGGGGAGCCGGCCCCGTTCTCCTGTATCTGGAAGTTTTAGAATTCCTAGGCCCATCCCCTCCGTTACGGGTCTCTTCCCATTTTCCGTTTCCCCTTGAATCCGTCTGTTTTCATAGTCTGTCTTTCTAGGGACTTTTCCACTTCGCCCCTCGCCCCTCGAGTCTACTTTGTAGACTCCCAGTCCTTCACGGCCATCATCGTCCACGGCCATCGCGCGGTCATTGTCATCTGCACGAGGCTGGCGGGCGTGTCCTTCCTGCTTTTAGTCATTCGCACCCTCCTTTCCCCCCTGCTACAGATTTGTCAGTTTCTTTTTCTTCTCAAGAACCAGTTTTTGGCTGGGGGCAGTGGCACGCGCCTGTCATCCCAGAGGCTCAGGAGGCTGGGGCAGGAGGACAGTGAGTTCAAAGCCAGCCTCAGCAACCGAGCGAGGCCCTAAGCAACTCAGTGAGATCCCGTCTCTAAATAAAATATAAAAAGGGGCTGGTGAAGTCTCCAAGGTCATTGCTTCCTTCTGTCAGCTTTGGGTTTAATTTGTGGTTCCTCTGTTTTCTTAAGGCAGGTTAGGGCACGGATCTGAGGGCACTTTGGCTCTGTTKGGGTTGGGATGTTGTTTTGGCCGTGCTGGGGACAGAGCCCAGGGCCTTGCCCATGCCAGGCGGGAACGCTGTGCCCCTGAGTTACCCCCCAGACCTTGTTTCCGTGTTTGTTGGCCTTGGTCTTAACATACTGCCCTCCTCAGCTGGGAGCGTCCCTCTCCTCCGACTCTTGGTCTTAGTGTCCTGGTGCTCGGCTCGCCCGTCCCCATTTCTCTTTTCATTCCCTGTCTGTCCTGGTGGTGTTCAGGGTGTGGTGTGTGTGTGTGCACACGTGTGTGTGTGTGTGTGTGTGTGTGTGTGTGTGTGTTTCACCACCTGCTTGTGAACTTTCTAGTTTTCCTCCCGCTATTGATCTCCACTCCATTCCTTTTTGGTCAGAAAGGCTGGGCCTCATCTCGGTCTCTTCAACCTTGATGGAGATGGTTTCCGGGCTCTTCTGCCGCCTCTCCTGGAGGACACTCGGTGTGTGCTTGAGTAGACTGTGTTCTGTGGGTGCTCCTTCCTCAGGGTGGCCTGGCCGCAGGCCAGCACACAGCCAGCCGTGCCGGGGGCCCTAGGTGTCCAGGAAGGGTCCAAGCTTGGGGCAGCTCCTGACCTGGCAGCTCCTCTGAAGCCTGCTGTTGGGCACACCTGTTGCCCACTGCCTCAGGAAGCCACCTGCGGTTGTGCCTCGAGGGAAAGACTTTCCTGCCCTGTGCAAACTCTGAGCCAAGTCCAATGCGGACCCCGCAGGAGGGATCCCCCGGAACCACAAGAGTCTTTGCTTCCCTGAGCATAGCTCTCCAGAATGCGGCCAGGAATCAAACGATTCCAGAGTTCTGAAAAAGTTGGTGTTGACCATTTGGTCAGTTGTCACCTGGCTACTTTGGAAGAATTTTGGAAGTCCTTACTCTGCTGCTTTTGCTGATGGCACACCTGGAAAACAGATTGAGGGGGAAATGAATCCCCAGTAAGATCCCAAGAAACCGCCCCCTTCAGCTCTGAATGTCCCTGCTGCCCTCTGCCCCACAACACCCTGGGCCAGTCTTGACCTCGGGCATTGAGGGGTTCCCCTCCTCCCACCCCACGAGCTGCTTCACTTCCTCTCCTTCAGGAGCAGGAGGAGGGAGGCTAAGACCCCCGGCCACAGCCAGGCTCCCTGGGCCTCCTGAGGCCCATCTCCCTCTCAGACCTGCCCCATCTCCCTGCCAAAGGATTCCGGGTGCCGGAGCCCCAAAGACTGAAGCAGGGCTGCCCCCCACCCCATGGCTTACTCAGGAGCCTGCCTCACTCACTGTTCACAGCCCCAGGGGCTTCTCGCCAGCTCAGGGTAGCCGGGGCTCTGCAGCCCCGTTGCTGTAAGAGGGGGGCCACGTGGGGCCACGTGGGGCCCGCCCCTGAGCACTGATTTGCCCAAGCAAACTCAGCCAGGAAAGTGCACCGCAGCACACACCCGTGATCCCCGTGACTCGGAGGCAGGAGATGACAAGTTCAAGGCCAGCCTGGGCAACACACACA